TAGAAGCTTGTGTAATCCTCAAAATAGCCCTCTGAGGTATTGATGATGATTCTCTAAAGACAAGAAAGCTAGGGTTTACAAAAGTTAAGTGATTTGCTCAAGATGTAAAGATAAGTGAAATGGTGGAAATCAAATGCCTTCCCATTTTCTCAAACCCATAGCCTATATTCTTTATGGGCTATTTCTCCATTATTCATTATTAGCAGGCTGGTGATTTTTTTACATGGCCACAAACCCCTTGACATGTCTCTCATTGAGAAATGGGGATTCATGTCCCCTTCCCCTGAATCTGGGCAGGCTTATGACTGCTTTCAACAGTAAAGTACAGTGATAATAATGTGAGACCTCTGAGGCTAGGACGTAAAGGACAATGGTGCTTCCACCTCATACCAAGCACAGAACACACATGCCTGTAGGCCTGCACTGCCATGGAAGAATTGCAGGTATCCCACAGTCACCATGCTGTGAAGAAGCCTCGTCACATGGAAGGCTGCACACCCCAGACATGTAAGTGGAGAAACCTCCAGATGATTCTAACCTGTAGCTGTTGAGTGTCATTGCTTGCATTCAGATTGTCCCAGCTGAGGTCCCAGATACAGTGGAGCAGAGTCATCCCCACTCTTCTCTGCATTTCTTACCCCTAAACCTGTGAGTATAATAAAATGCTTGTTATTTTAAGCCACTAAGATTTTGGGGATAGTTTGTTACTCAACAATAGTAACTGGAACAGCAAGTGACATAAATCTGCTTTCCAGCCCACATGATTCCTCCTTTTTTGCTGCATTTTTGCCACACACATAGTCAACACAAATTTATTAATATTTATTCATTCCATGATTTTCGTACTTGTGGTACTTTCCTATCCCAACTAGGTTATAAACTTTGTCAAGACAAGAGTGACTTAAAATTTTTTAGCAAATACTCATATACTGCCAACACTGTTCTAGGTGTTGGGATCTGTCAGTGCACAAATGATCAACAAACTTCCCACCTTAATGAGGCTGACGTTTCAGTGAATGTTTTGTACCTCCGTTACTCAGAGTGCCAAATATACAGTGGCTGATAAAGTGTTATAGATGAGCACTAATGTTAAGCTTCTCAATCTTAAGAATTTTCTGAGATTTGAATTACAGAGCAATTGGTAATAGAAACTAACAGTTTAAGTTGCTGTAACTGTTTTGAGTCAGAGCTCATTTTGCTACTGCCATATTTAGTAGTGCGTCATTAAAATTTCAATAATACTAGCTTATCTTAAATTCCTATTTTATCTAAAGCAGTGTTTATTTTTACTTCTGTAATTGAGGAAAGACACCGTTGAAAGTTTTTACTGTGTGTGTTCAATTTGTGTTAGACCTCTGAATGGGGAGAGAAGACAAATCTGTCTTGAAATTCCTGTCCCCGTCCTACTGTGAAGGCAGGTGTAAAAGCGCTTGGTTTTCTTCAGCCCAGTGTGGCAATGAGTAATGAGTGGTTAGACATTGTGGAACTGGAGAGGAAAGCAAAAGCATTGAAATGTGGAAATGGCACATTTTAGTTATTCATGTTTCCTTTCTCTTACATTGTTCTTCTGAAAAATTTTTAAGGCTGCAAGCCAAAATACCTAGTAAGGGTTCCTGGTTATATTTTTTAAAATTGCAACTCAAATGACATCCTCTCCAACAAGGCTTTTACCAAATAAGTAATAATTATTTCCTTCTTTTTTCACTCTAGATGCTTTGTAAAACCTCTACTATAGCATCAGTCATGTTTTGTTATACAATAGTCTTACCTTTTCTCAGGGGATACATGCTGAGACCCCAGTGGATGCCTGAAACTGTGGATTGTGTGATCCTATATGTACTGTGTTTTTTCTTATACATACATACATGTGATGAAGCTCAATATATAAATTAGGCACAGTAAGATATTAACAATGACTATAATAAAATAGAACAAGTATAGTAATATACTATCATAAAAGTTATGTTAGACTCTTCCAAAATATCTTATTGTGCTGAACTCACCTTTTCTTCTTGTGGTAGTATGAGATGATAAAATGCCGAGATGATGAGATGAAGTGAGGTGAATTATGTAGGCATTGTGATGTAGCATTGGCTCCTGTTGACCTCCTGATGATATATCAGGGAGGATCATCTGCTTCTGGACTGAAGTTGACTGTGTGTGTAACTGAAACCACAGAAAGTGAAACCATATTATAACTCTCCCTGAATTGTGAGGTCCTTGAAGGCGGGAGCTGTCTTACTCATCTAGTGACTTTACAGTGCTCTTATTCATAGACATGATATAAAATTACATGTTAGGTTAAACTGTATTCACATGTAATATGTGACTAACAATAGTTAGTGGTATTTATGTCTTTTTTTTAGTTAAGGTAAGAAGCTAAATAGGTATTAGTTTTTCCAGAAACATCACATTATCTCCTACTCCCCCCCATCAAATTAAATTTAGCTTGAAAGCTTTCTGACCAGGGTGGTAACTTGTCTACCCTCCTTAAGGAGGTTAAAAAAAAAAAACCTAGAAAGGCAGAGATCTAGTTTTACCTTTAAAAATGCTCCCTGTCCAAGTCTATGTGAGCCTTTAAAAGAAAAGCGTAGGCATTGGGGTCTTTTGCCCTGGTCCCAAAGACCTCAATGCCTAGTCTTCAGCCCCCAGTATTCCTCATGCCATTCTATCAGAGTGCTGCTGTCTGGGGGAGAACCCACAACTATCATTTTTTCTTCCAGTTTCTTAATTTGGAAGTTTAGATTATTGATTTAATATCTTCTTTTTTAATATAGGCAGGTACACTAGAAAATTTCTCTAAGCATTCCTTTCTCTGCATCCCATAAATTTTGGTACTGTGTTTTTGTTTTCTCTTATCTCAAAAATATTTTCTGATTTCAGTGATGATTTCTTCTTTGACCCATTGGTTATTTATTGGAGTCTGTTGTATAATTTCCACATATTTGTGAATTTTCCAAATAACCCTTTTATTATTAATTTCTAATTTCATTCCATTTTGGTTGGAGCACATACTTTGTGTGATTTCAGTTCTAAGACTTGTTTTATGGCCTAACATGTACTCTATTCAAGATGGTGTCCCATGTTCACTTGAGAACAATGCATGGTCTGCTGTTAAGTGGGGTGTTCTATAGATACGTTAGGTCTAGTTGTTTTGTATTGTTGGTCATATCTTCTTTTTCTTCCATCTGCACAAATCTGCTATGGAACCCCTATAGTGATTTTTTTCATTTCATTTATTATGTTTCACCTGCAGAATTTCTTTTTTGTTGTTGTTTCTGTCTCTTTATATTCTCTGTTTTGTGAGGCATTGTTATCATATTTTCCTTCAGTTCTTTAGACATGGTTTTGTTAGTTCTTTGGATATATTTTAAATAGCTGATCTGAAGTTTTATAAGTGCAATGTCAGCTTCCTCAGTAAGTTTCTGTTGATTGCTTTTTTCCTATGTATGGGACATGCTTTCTTGTTTCTTTGCATAACTTGTAAATTTTGTTGAAAATTGGACATTTAACATATATTGTGGCAGCTCTGGAAATCAGATGCTCCTCTCTCCCCAAAGTTTTTTTTTTTTCCTGGTAGTTGGTTGGTTGTTTTGTGACTTTAACTAATTACTTCTATAGAGTCTGTATTCTTTGTTATGTGTGGCCACTGAAATCTTTGTTGGTTAGCTTAGTGGCCAGCTAATGATTGGATACAAATTTCCTTAAAAGCCCAGAACCAATAAGCCCCCTAATCTTTGCTGAGGGACTCTCTGTGTGTATTGGGGCATGGCTTCTATGCCCAGGCATTTGACAACTCTGCTTTAACATTCACTTTCTGCTTGCACACAGTTTCATGGTCAGCCATAAATGAGAGCATAGAGCCTTCTCAGGTCTTTTCTGAGCATGTACACAGCCCTACACATGTACATAGCCTTCTGGATTCCAAGGAATATGTCAGAGCCTTTCAAAGCCATGTAGGGATATCTCATTCCCAAGTTTTTCCTTTTAAGCTTTTTGGTTAGCTGTGTGCCTGTTATCTACTGCCTCAGGTATCTGTGATGTTAAACAATTGCCTCTAATTGTTTTTAACAAATGTCTCCAGGGAAAAAGCTTCTTGCACTGGACAAGCCCCAATTTAGGTCAAATAAAGAGACTCCTGCAAGTGGAATCTTCCATGGAACTATCAGATAGGTGAAATAATGATAATTCTGTGGGAATGGAGCTTTAAAGAAGTTCTGACCTTATTTTGCCCCCTTTGATGGCTGACAGGCTGCTCATTTTCGCCAAAGTTGTGGGATGCTGATTTTTCAAGGCTATTGTGGAGCTGAAGGGGAGGGAGGGAATGGATGGAAATAGAGCACATTAAAACCCCACAAAGCTTGTTCTCTTACCAAGATTCAGCTGTTTTTCTTGACTAAACACTGCCTGGAATGCTGCAAGTTTTGAGTTAATTTACAGAATTCTGGAAATGTTGATTTTGACCAATTTTGCTAGTTTTCTTGCTGCTTTTATGGAGGAGAGAATGTTTGGAGGTCTTTACTTTGTTATTTTTGCATCACTCCCATAATTTCTTTTATCTGCCTCTGAGATATTAACTTTGTCTTTTTTTTTGCCTCTTCAACTCAAAATACCAGCACCTATTCCATTTCCTTTGTGGTCATCCAACTTAATTTCCCTCAATGAGTCAATGTGGTGGTGTTTTGTTTTCTTGACAACTTCTGTTTTTCCACTTCTGTTTCTCCTAGGGGTCTTCTTATGAGAATGATTCAGAATTAATAACTCATAAATTACCTACCACATAAAGGAAAAAAGTGATAGTGAGGTTGGGAGAAAAAAGTCAAGTCCAGTCAAATATAGAATACTGCCAATCAAAAACCCAAGTTTTCTTGGACTTTGAATAAATGACTAAAATATCAGACAAATGAAAAATATGAAACAATTTAGAATTTTGAGAAAGCTTGTTTTATTATCTGCTTTTATAACTGTTTCTTATTTGTTGTTATTTTGCCCCTTGTCAGGATGCCCGACATGCAGCAGAAGGAGAAATATATACCAAACTTAATCAAAAAATTGATGAATTTGTTCAGCTTGCTGATTATGACTGGACAATGTCTGAGCCAGATGGAAGAGCTAGTGGTTACTTAATAGACCTTATTAATTTTTTGAGAAGCATCTTTCAAGTATTTACTCATTTGCCTGTAAGTATAAAAAAATTTCAAAAAATCCGAATGCAATTACAGTTTGAGGTTTACTTGTTTAAACCAAATTCCTAGCTTGCATATTTCTTTTCGACTGTTATAAATCCATTTGTGAAGTATCCTAACTTAGCCAATTGTTTGAAGTTTTAATTTATTTTACTTTTTAGCCAAAATAACTACAACTTTGTTCCCACCAAAACCAAAATAAAACCTGAAATTGAAAGAGTAGACTTAAAAAGAAACTCTAATAAGAGTCATTTTCATAAAATCAATATAATCAATGGCTGTTTCACTTAGGAAGACTAAGCAATTATTGGATATTTTTAGGCCAGAAATTAAAACAGGAACATTGTTCTATCCTGATATATAGCCATAGTGCATCTACGTCTTGAACAACGTATTGATGAAACATTAAAAAAGAGAGAGAGATGGCAGGGACATTTGGGTGTGAATAGGCTGAAACACTGGATTTTGGAGATGAGGAATGCAAAGATCAAAGAGATTATGGTAGGATAAACATGCTCTGCTTATGTATATTCAAAAATAATAGAACTGTAGTAAAAATGTTTTATTGACCTTTTTAATCTCATGATAAAATACAACTGAACACAAAAATAAAGTATTTAATTTGGAGTCTACTCAACTGCCCTCAACTGTCTCCCTTGTTTAAAATGAAAAAAAAAAAAAGTTATTCTCCTCATCCTTCACTGTTTCAAAAGGTTGGCTGAAATAGTTGAAGGAAGGTATTGCTAAAAGAAGAAGTATTTCTTAAAGAGATTTTAATAGTGGAGCTATGCCACTTTTTAGAAGCTTACCCAGGAATGATGTTGTATTCCTAACTGCTGTCCTTAGTTGAAAAGAAAATCTGTATATATATTTAATATTTATTTCAACTAATTTCTAAAAAACTGTTCCTCGTACAATATGCATTAAATAATTGTTGAATTAATTTGAATTCACACTGTCAGTATAACTCAATGCTTCCAGCCAAAAGCCGTCTACAAGAATAAACACATGCGTGAATATATACACAGATATACACACATTGTATTTTTACATTGCAATACCTGCTTCATGGCTTGGCAGGAGGTGATGGGTAGGAATTTTGTGCATAAATGTGGTAAGATGAAGAGAGGTTATATGCACAAATGTTTGGGGGAAATACCTTACCTCACTCAGAAGGCTGACATCTGGATGGAAATCCTGCTTTTTTATAGGATATCCTCTCGTGACATTGAGAGAGACAGACTCCTGGCCTATCTAGTCACTCATCAATTATGACATTTTGTATAGTTTTAGGTGATTCTGCATATGCCATTTTCGATTTTTATGTCCTCTAATATGGGTTTTTCTTTAAAGGAAATAAATTTTTATACAATGTTAGATGAAGAAATTCAATAGTAAATATAGGGCACCATCAAATAAAAAGGAAATTACAGTTCATAGATAAGAAAAAAGAAAATAGTCCTAACAGTATATTCTTATTCAAGAGATGAACTAATGGCATAATTCCCAAGCAAAAATATTAAATTATTGACTACACTAAATTTTAGCTAGAGTTGATAATATTATGGCTTAATGTATTAATTTTCTGGAACCCTGAAATTGTATAAAATATTCAAGTAGATTGTTTTCTTTGAAGCCAAGAACAGAGGCGGTGTTATTGTGTTATTTGTCTAAGCAGCGTAGGGCAGTATATAAGCTACTATTTTAATTTATATGTTTTAAGTTGAAAATGACTCCTTAGTTTCAGGTTACCCTTGGACCAAGTGAGAGATGGGCTAGTTCTGGACCCCTTCAGTTCTTAAAGAAACTGAACATTTATCATGTTCAGTCCCAAGTCAGGTTAAGCAAAGCTAGCTATCCCTTATAGACATGAAGAGTTAATTAGTGTGGCTAATTTTGGTTCCTTGCCTTTCCTTGGTTTTAACAATGTTCAGGACCAATGCAGTGAGTTAGAGTCAGTGGGAGTTGTGAAGGGCCACTCTTTAAAATACTGTAAGTAATTAGACACAGAAGTAGATTCTGTGGGATAAAGATGACTCACCTCCAAACCCTAAGCAGTACCTAAGGTAGGACACTTTTAGTTTAAATGTTGCACTCTGAACTTTACTGCTTGTTTAGTTTTTGTCAGGCCTACTATTGTTGGAAAAGAGGATTTTCTCCATCATAGTCATGATGTGCAGCTGCTGACCACATTGCCCAGTAAAATTTCCATTGGTTCCAAAAAAGTTATTATACATCCAATAAAATTTTGTTCTCTACTCATACGGAATGAGAACAATAAAAGTTAACAAATAATAATAGTTTTGATAAAACCCAGGAAAAGAACTTTGTTGTTTTCACTTTTTTACTACAGTGTGGTAACAGTAGAAAGGATTAGGAAGACAACCAATAGTATCCACTTTAAATACCTCTTATCTCTAGGGTTGGGTGAGTGAGAAAATTGGTACATTACTTCTTCACTCATTTCTCTTGCAAAGCCTATGCAGGGGATGGAAAAAAGCTTCCTCGTTTCCATAATAAGTTACTTATTCATCTGCATTTCCTTCTGCTTTAGCAGAGGAGCCAGACTCTCTATGGGCCATAGGAATTAACCAGAAAGCTAAATAGGCAATATTTACACTAAAGACAAATTATTTCCCAATTAGTCAAATTGTTAAGCCATCCTGCTAAATATGTTATATGCCTCAAGGGAACTTGCCTTTTTATGACTTAATTAGAGCTAAACTGATTTATCTTTTATTGTTCTTAGGGGTCAGGATGCTGAAGTGAAAACCTACAGTGGGCTCTAGAGTTAGAAATACTTATGTTTGAATCTTGGATTGATAATATACTATCTGTGAGATCCTGACAAGTTTAACCTCTCTGAACCTTTTACCTTCTGCAAAATGGGCAAAATCCATTTTTTGCATATGACTATTTTTCATAAGGTGAATTAAAGTAGTATGTAAAAATGTTGCCTGGCTGGGTGCTTAGCAAAAATTAAGTGCTATTAATAAATGTTAGTTTCATCTTGTCTTCTTCTTTCTTCCTCTATTATTGTTTTAAGGCTCCATAATGCATTTTCACTTTTTCACCCTGTTGTATTTATGCCTACATTTTTAGCTTGATATTATTTAGCTTTAACCCTATATTTTGTATTATATAGCCATTTAAAAATTTTCATTATAAATAATACTCATATAAAACATATTTATATGAATAATATGAATAATTATAATTTGAGTATACTGCTTACACTGGCTAATGGTCAGATACTAGCTAATGTCAGTGAAGTCTGATTAGCATATGAAATAAATATTATTTTATCCCTAAATTAGTACTCTTGGAATAAACAGTTTTTACTGTTTCAAATATGTGACTCTTCTTATTTCTAAAAAATTTTTTCCTGGCAATTAGAAAATACAGCTCAGTATGGGAGAAATAAAAATTACCTGTTATTTTGTCAAAGGATAACCACTGTTATCATTTTGACATGTTATCCTATAAGTCATCTTTTTCTACATATTTATGATACTTATTTTAAGCCTAATTTATAAGCAAGCTTTGTTTTTCTCATAAGATTTTTAAATTAGCTAGGAAATTTTAAACCAGAAGAATTTTTGCAGTACATTTTCATTCACCACTTACATGCATAGAAATAGAAGAAATTGTTGGTTTACTTGAACACATCTAGTTATTCTTCATGACTGCCAAATGGAACTCAGTAACAGTTTACTGTGTGTGCCACCTAAAGACCCAGCAGTGGTCTGCTTCAGGAAAGAACAGTTAACATTTCCTTCCTTCATAAATGCCAATCACCTATTTGTTTAAATAAAGGTATTTTGTTGATTTATAATCACTAAGGGATATGTGTAAAAGATAGTATGTTTTTAATCTCTTTGTGGGCTTATTTGCAAAAGGGACCTAATTTACCCAAATGTTTATGCTAACAAATGTTATCCATTGCAGAAGTAAATAGAAGTTCTTGAATGATCAGTTTGCTCATATTTCTTTCTTCCTAGAAACTCTATTGTTTTTTCTTTAGCCATAATATAATCGTCTGTGCTTATCATGTGGTACTACTTGAGAGGCATTAAATAAACTATTCTGGTTTCTTTTTGAATTGTAAAAAACAAAGCTGCTGTCTTCCAAGAAACATAGGTTTTTCTTTTTCATTTTTTTTTTTTTCTGATTTACACACGTACTCCAATATGTGCTTTAATTAGATTACTTTCACTGCAGGAGTTAAAACCTGAATAAAATGAGGGTCTGGAATTTTGCCATTTTTTTTTTATTCCTACGAGGTACTTAGGGTAGTCAAATATTTTTTTATTGATGAATCATTGATACACAATCTTACATTGGCTTCAAATATATAACACAGTAGTTGAGCAGTTACATTATTAAATCATCACCCCCATTAGTGCAGTTACTGTCTGTCAACATACAAGGATGTTACAGAATCATTGATTATATTCTCCATGCTATACTACTATCCCTGTGACCAACTTATGATTGAGAATTTCTGTGCCCCTTTATCTCCCTCACCCTCTCTACCTACCCACCCCAACCCATTTCATCCCATCCCCCATGGGTCTTCTCAGTGTCTTGAGGCTACTGCTGTTTGCTTTTTTTTTCATATTCCACAAAAAAGTGAAATCATATGGTATTTATCTTTCTCCACCTGGCTTATTTCACTGAGCATAATACCCTCTAGATCCATCCATGTTGTTGCAAATGGCAGATTTTTTTTTCTTATGCCTAAATAATATTCCACTGTGTATATGTACCACCTCTTCTTTATCCATTCATTTTTTGATGGACACTTAGGTTGCTTCCATATCTTGGCTATTGTAAATAATGCAGCAATAAGCATAGGGATGCCTGTATCTTTTTCAATCAGAGATTTTGTTTTCAATCAGGGATTTTGTTTACCCTGTTTCAATCAGGGTAAATTCCTAGGAATGGAATTACTGTGTTGAATGGTTTTTCTCTTTTTTAGTTTTTTGAGGGGC